GATGCGAAAATGCGTAACATCGACAGCCTGCAGCACCAAGCACACCAGCAACAACAGCAGCAGCAGCAACAACAGGCGCCGACAGGACATGGCCAACCGCAGGGTGCTCAGCAAATGCAAGCACATCACGGCCATCAGTTGGTGGGTGCGGGCGCTGGCAGCGAACGCGGCGACAAACCCGATTCGGAAATATCGGTAGTACGTGTACCGGACAGTTATGCAGCTACATCCGGCGCATCAGGCGCGGGCGTTGTCACGGCTGCCGGCGGCAATGTGGGTCAGCGTGGCACACGCTCCGATGAGCTACAAATGAAACCACCACTCGTTGGCCAGCTGCCGATGACAACGCCCTCGCGTGAGGCGAGCCTCACACAGAAGCTTGAGGTGGCTTTGGGTCCGGTTTGTCCGTTGCTGCGCGAAATAATGGTTGATTTTGCGCCATTCCTCTCAAAGACACTCGTTGGCTCGCATGGTCAAGAGCTGCTTATGGAGGGCAAAGGGCTGACGACTTTCAAAAACTCGCACTCCGTTGTCGAGTTGGTGATGTTGCTGTGTTCGCAGGAATGGCAGAATAGCCTGCAGAAACATGCCGGTCTCGCCTTCATCGAGTTGATTAATGAGGGTCGGTTGTTGTCGCACGCCATGAAGGATCACATTGTGCGTGTCGCCAATGAAGCTGAATTCATATTGAATCGTATGCGTGCAGATGATGTGCTCAAGCATGCCGATTTCGAGTCGCAATGTGCCCAAACACTGCTGGAGCGTCGCGAGGAGGAACGCATGTGCGATCATCTAATAACGGCGGCGCGAAGACGTGACAATGTGATTGCTAGTCGCCTCCTCGAAAAGGTACGCAATATTATGTGCAATAGGCATGGGGCTTGGGGTGACGCCAGCGGCAGTGTGCAGAAACAAACTTATTGGAAATTGGACGCTTGGGAGGATGATGCGCGCCGACGCAAACGCATGGTGCAAAATCCGCGCGGCTCATCGCATCCACAAGCCACACTCAAGGCGGCCATCGAGAATGGCGCACCCGAGGATGCTATCCTGCAGACGCGTGATGAATTTCACACACAGATTGCAGTATCACGGGCGCATCAGTCCGCTCAACATACGGCCGATCTTTTGGATGACGCCGAGCTGTTGATCGAAGATCGTGAGCTGGATCTGGACTTGACGGGCCCAGTGAACATCAGCACCAAAGCGAAACTGATAGCGCCCGGCGTGGTCGCACCCGGTACAGTGTCCATCACGAGCACTGAAATGTTCTTTGAAGTTGACGAAGATCATGCTGAGTTCCAGAAAATCGAGCCAGAGGTGCTAAAGTACTGCGATCACTTGCACGGCAAGTGGTACTTTTCCGAAGTGCGCGCCATCTTCTCACGTCGCTACTTGCTGCAAAATGTAGCTTTGGAGATTTTCTTGGCCAGTCGCACCTCTATTCTCTTCGCTTTCCCCGACCAACATACTGTGAAAAAAGTGATCAAGGCTTTGCCGCGCGTTGGCGTCGGCATTAAATATGGTATCCCCCAAACTCGCCGTGCTTCGATGATGTCTCCGCGCCAACTGATGCGAAACTCCAACATGACACAGAAGTGGCAACGACGCGAAATTTCCAATTTCGAGTACTTAATGTTCCTTAATACAATAGCGGGACGCACCTACAATGACCTCAACCAGTACCCGGTTTTCCCATGGGTACTTACCAACTACGACACAAAGGAGCTGGACCTCAGTTTGCCTTCAAACTACCGCGATCTGTCGAAGCCGATAGGTGCATTAAATCCCTCACGACGCGCCTACTTCGAGGAACGCTACGAAAGCTGGGAAAGTGACACAATACCGCCATTCCATTACGGCACACACTACTCAACGTCCAGCTTCACGCTCAATTGGTTGGTGCGCGTTGAGCCATTCACCACCATGTTCTTGGCATTGCAGGGAGGAAAGTTCGATTATCCTGACCGTCTTTTCTCTTCCATTTCACTTTCATGGAAGAACTGCCAACGCGACACATCCGACGTCAAAGAGCTCATACCCGAATGGTATTTCCTGCCAGAAATGTTCTACAACTCATCTGGCTATCGCCTGGGGCATCGCGAAGACGGCACTCTCGTCAACGATGTCGAACTGCCGCCCTGGTCTAAGAGTCCCGAAGAATTTGTGCGCATCAATCGTATGGCCTTGGAATCAGAATTCGTCTCCTGCCAGCTGCACCAATGGATTGATTTGATTTTCGGCTATAAGCAACGTGGCCCCGAAGCAATACGCGCAACCAATGTCTTCTACTATCTGACCTATGAGGGTAGTGTTGACTTGGATGCGATAAACGATCCCGTTATGCGTGAAGCAGTGGAAAATCAAATTCGCAACTTCGGCCAGACACCCAGTCAGCTGCTGATGGAACCGCATCCGCCACGCAGTTCGGCAATGCACCTATCGCCAATGATGTTCAGCGCCATGCCCGATGATCTCTGCATGTCGCTGAAATTCTATCAGAACTCGCCAATTATACACATTTCAGCCAACACCTATCCACAACTGTCGCTGCCGTCGGTAGTGACTGTGACGGCAGGTCATCAGTTCGCCGTGAATCGCTGGAATTGCAACTACACCGCATCCGTCCAGAGTCCCAGCTATGCAGAGTCGCCACAATCACCTGGCTCCAATCTGCCGTTGACCATCGATCCAGTTTTATGTAAGTGCAGGTTTTTATTGAAGAGTTTTCGATTTAGGAAACTAACTTTTTGCTCTGATTTCTGCCTATCCTTCACACTTCAGCTGCACAAAATACAGGCCACAACAACCCAATGAATCGTCGTCATTTAGGTGACAATTTCAGTCAGATGTTGAAAATTCGCTCCAACTGTTTTGTGACAACTGTAGACAGCCGTTTTCTGATTGCTTGCGGTTTTTGGGACAACAGTTTCCGTGTGTTCGCCACTGAAACTGGTAAGGCTTAGAGAAATAGAAACTGCTGTAAAATATCTCATACAAGATTCGAAGTTCTCTCGATAATCTTTACATATTTACTAAGCAGCATTTTCCCACAATCTCTTATATTTCAGCGAAAATCGTGCAAATAGTATTCGGCCATTTCGGTGTCGTCACCTGTTTGGCCCGCTCAGAGTGCAATATCACCTCCGATTGCTATATCGCATCGGGTTCGGCAGACTGCACGGTGCTGCTGTGGCACTGGAATGCGCGCACCCAGAGCATTGTCGGTGAGGGTGATGTGCCAACGCCGCGCGCTACGCTGACGGGACATGAACAAGCTGTGACTTCGGTTGTGATTAGCGCTGAGCTGGGCTTAGTCGTCTCAGGATCGACAAGTGAGTATTAAGTAATCGAATAGGTTTACGTACGTTTAATATGAAAATATATATGTACGTCTGCGCAGATTTTTGCCTAAATGAATAGTTTTATCATTTAGTAAAAGTTTTAAGATATCAAACCTTATAATATTTAAATTTTTTTTATATTATTTTCTTTGCAGACGGTCCCGTTCTGATTCATACCACATTTGGTGATCTTCTGCGTTCGCTTGATCCGCCCATGGATTTCTATTCGCCCGAGTTGATAGCCATGTCGCGCGAGGGTTTCATTGTTGTCAATTACGATAAGGGCAATGTGGCTGCGTATACCATCAATGGCAAGAAGCTACGCCACGAAACGCACAATGATAACTTGCAGGTGAGGAATATTAACAAATATATTTAAGAAATAAATATTCATGGAATTAGGCCAGGTGAAGTAATATGAGCGAGACGTTGTATTCAACATTGATTTAAAAATTTGCTTAATATTTTCAAGACATGATTTCATTAATATATATATTCTATATAAATACGTATGTTTTCATTTGATATTTTTAACATTTGATAAAGACTTAAGGGAGAATATTACACATCAATATTTTTACTTACTAAAGTTTTTGGCATATTTCTGTTTCTTCTCTTTTCAGTGCATGCTGCTATCGCGTGATGGTGAATATCTGATGACAGCTGGTGACCGCGGCATAGTGGAAGTTTGGCGCACTTTCAACTTGGCGCCTTTGTATGCCTTCCCTGCATGTAATGCGGCCATCCGTTCGTTGGCGTTGACACACGATCAAAAGTAAGTGCGATTTAAAATTCTTAAGCGCTGGTTATACGTACATTACAGCGCAGGGTATAGACAAGCAGCGCATGTGAAGCAGGAGTGTTATTATAATCCGCATAGAGGGCATAGTCAGCTGTTCTGTGTAATCAGTTAGTCTGTTCCTGTACTATAGGATTTAGTTGGGAGGCTTTACCCGAATAATTCGTATACTTTTCAATGGAGTAGCAGCAACTAACTTTATAATCGACTTTATTTCGACTATGAATATGATGCAATGTATGTATCTGAACGACCTCTCAGTAAATCTGATGAATACTGGAACAGACTAAGGGTAGATAATCAAAAGAAATGAGAGTGGCATCTCTCTTTCAAAGTGTCTCATAGCGAATGATCGAAATTCACCAGACTTCGCTTTCATGCTCTGCCATGCGCTGCGTCCGGTAACCGCATTTATGCAAAACTCACATTTACCATTTTCGCCTGTTTGTGTAGCAGATGTGGCAGCTCGACATACTATTTTTCATTTATGTATATTTCTTCCTTTTAAAGCAAAGGAAATTATATATTTTGCCCAAAACTACGTCCGCGTCATGTTTAGTTTAACGTAAACATTTTTTTTTTTAATTGATTTGTTCACTTATTCATTAAACTAAATTATTGATTTAAATTCTAAAAAAAATATTTAAATAATGTAACATGAAATAAACAAAAGACTTGGAACTTTGAAAAGAATGATATACTCTAAAATATGGCCAGCAACCCAGTTTTCAACTAATTGGCATGTGAAATTAATTTAAATTTATTTTGAAACAGATGGCAACCCTCTTGAAAAAAAATTTTAAGATAAAGCGGTTCCGCTTGACGTCTGGAGTATAATATTTTATTACACTTCATGAATAAATTGAATTTGACATTTAAACCTCCTATAAAAAAATTTCGACATAAAGCTTTCTCAGATTTGTTCCACATTCTAATATCCCACAAACTTAAATTTGGTGTTTAAACTATTGGCCACCCTCCTAAAAAAGATGATCGAAATAAAGCTCTCTCAAATCGGTTCCGTTCGAATTTATCTTTAAGTTGGATTTTAATTTGGACAGATGGCAACCCTGTTAAAAAATATGTTCAAAATAAAGCTTTCTTAAATCTGTTTCGCTGGATATAGGTATCTTTCAGTTAACTTCTTAACTAAATTGTATTTGACCTTTAATCAGGTACAGATTGAATTGAGCTATCAATCTTGAGATAGCCCTTTTAAAAATATTTTCGAAGTAAAGCTTTCTTAAACATCTTTTTTTGACATTCAGAATATAATATTGACTAAACAAAATTTCACGTTTAAATCAAGTGCCAGCTCTTCTAAGAAATTACTAAAAAAAAGCTTTTTAAATCTCTTTCGTGTTGATTAAATTCCATTTGAATTTTATATAGGTGGCAACGCCCTTATATATATTATCTAAATAAATAAAATATTTCATTCTGAATGTCAATCGAAAAAGATATAAATTAAGTGTTTCATTTAACTCATTAATAAAATAGGTACATGGCAACCCTGTAAAAAAAAATTATTTTGAAATATTGCGTTTGTTCTTTTGAAATTTATACAGCAAAATATTTATGGCACTTTTAATTTCAATAGAATGTAACCATTTAAGCAAGTGGCGCCCTTCTTTCGTACATATTTTTTTAGTAGCACAGATATGTACCCGTTTAAGTTCTCTCTTTTCATTTCCAATTCTGTATTTTTTTTATTTATTTCCAGATACCTCCTTGCTGGACTGTCCACCGGCTCCATCATTGTATTTCACATTGATTTCAATCGCTGGCATCACGAGTACCAGCAGCGATACTAAACGCCGAGAGAACACGAAATTATAATTCTCAAATGCTTTCAAAAACGATGACGCAAATTAACTTAGATAGTAGATTTGCAAACCTCAAAAAAAGAAGCGTAGACAGCTACTTCAAACATATATGGGTGACGGATGTTGTACCGGCAACAATTGTGGATAAAATAAGGCCAAATTGCAAACAAGCAGGACTTAAAAAATGTTTAACAAGTTAGTTTAAAGAAAATGAGTAATTAAAAAAAACAAAATGCAAGTAAGCCATTTATTCAATGACAAAATGCAAATATAATATAATAAATTAATAAAATAGTATTATTATTGGCTTTGAGTTTTAAACCGAATAGCGGCGATACGCAGTTTTTAAACTAATCATTAATTCTTTCATTTTTACTATTCGATTTTATTAGGCTAGGAGAAAATTATAATTTGGTTTGTTGCAAATTTTTTTACTTAGAATAAAGCAGTCGATAGATACATACTTGAAATACATACATACATACATAGTAACGTATGTAGTAATAGTGGGTTAGACCAATGCATACAGTGCTACGATTAGTTGAACGCAATGATGAAGAAAAAAATAAATAAAAAAATAAAAAGTAATATTTAATAATTCAAGAATTCAAGAATTAAAAGTTGCGCTGAAATTTCTTAACTTAGTACTTAATAGGGTAAATAAGTATTTTTTTTTTTTAAATTAACGCCGATTAAGATTAAAGAAAAAAAAATGCGTAAAAGTTAAATAGTTTTAGTGACTCAGAGAACAGTAATTGCATAATTAATATCCAAAACAAAGAAGTAACTAAGCGGCCAAAAGTGAAAACGAAACGTACTTAAAATAGTGGTTTTTCTTAAAGCAAATACAAAATTATATATACGCATACACATACATAATTAACTAAAGTCAAAGCCAGGCGCATACGAACATATTTGAAACACTTAGCCGCACGGAGATCAGCAGTTGAAAGTATTCCACAAAAAAAAAAAAACAAAAGCGCATAGAAATATTAGAAGTGTGTTAAGCAGTAGAATTCAGAATTTGTAAGCAGATTTTCATTAGTTATTGCGCCAAAGTTATAAAAAATTTAGAAACCAAAGCAGCTAGATAAAAGATAGCTTTTACATGCAGTAAAATTTGCGTTTGCCCAGTAGAACGAAGTGCTGAAAAAAAGTCACAGTTCAGAACTCGAAAAAAAACAAAAAAAAAAAAGCGTACAATGAAAATAAAGTAAAGTTTGAAAAGAAAATTACTAAGTTTAAAAAGCACGAGAAAACGTGCGAATATTACAATCCTTGCTTATGTGCAGTGCTGTTTTTCTTTTTTTTTTGTTAAGGATTGAGTTTACACACGCGCACACCCACATGCATAGCTACTTAGATTTGTAAGTCACTCTCTAGGTTACTTGGCACCTAAGTTGACGTACTTATGTGTATGTTTGTCTCCTGTTTCTGTATATTTATGTAAGTACATATGTGTGGTATAAACGTGTAAATTGTTCGTTTTGCTTTGCGGCAAAGTGAAGCTGCAACCAACAACAAAAAAAAACGGCAACTTATTAATCTGTATGTACCCTGTACAGTCCATTATGTGTATGATGTCTGTATTAGATCTATATATGTATGTATGTATATACTTATATGTGTGTACATACATGTACATATGTATGGATGTGTCTCTGAAATGTTTCAAACAAGCGAAGTTTAATAAAATTTTATTGCGTCCAATTAAGAGAGAAAAAAAACACGAATTAATGAAAATGTTTATATTCACGTCACAGACAAACAAACAAAAACACACACACACACACACACGAATGCAATAAATATCAACAGCCAACAGATTTTCGTCCAAAACTTTAAACTAATTTGTATGTTTGTTCGTGCGTAAATTCATATGTCTGTATGTACTCGTGTGGCCATTGTTTTAGCGTTGCAGGCTTGTATTGTACTAGCAAAATTTGTTTTTGTAGCTAAACCATCTGTCTAGTGGACTAAAAACAACAAATAAAGTATTTTGCGATGCTAGTTCAAAAATTTATTTTTATTTACTTTTTCAAAAAAAAAAAAAAACTATTGGCAATGGCTGTTTACTAGGTTTCCTGAATCCATCCACTTAAACTAGATTTTTAGATTTAGATTTTTTAAATTTATTTATTTTCAAAAAAATTTTTTAAATATATTTAGTCAAATTTAAAATTTGCCGGTTATGACTTTGAGTGATGTCTATTTGGATAAACGAAACAGTACACAACACGAAATGGGCAGAAAAGTGCTGAAATGCGCAATTTGCGTCGCGAGTTGAGCATTCAATGTAGTAAGTTGTGCAAATGCATGGAAAATTAAGGAGCGAATAGCTATCTAACTAGTTTGTAAACGATTGTTTTTGATCTATAAAAACATGTGTTAATGTTGTTTCAGTCTCTTAATTGTGCTAATAAGTTTACAAAAAAAAAGTTAAAAAAAAAATTTAAGACAACGCAAATTAGATACGTCCTAAACATTCAAGTAAATCTGTCCACCAACTTGCGTACATCTATTCGTTAAGCATTTTATTATCTCTGCTACATTAATTTACATATGTAAATGCATTCGTATATGTATGTATATATAATTGTATGTATCATACATTTAGCTTAAGGCTCATAAAAAAAAAATTGCAAAAAAAATATTAATAAAAACGTACTTGCGGCATTTCTTTTTGTAAATACAACTATGTTACTGCTTTATAGTGGATTATAGTAAGTAAGGCAAGTTTAAACTAAAGAAAAACAAGTATGCAAACAGTAAATCTAAGAAAATTAAAAAAAAAAAACATAATAATAATAATTAAGGTTTTATGCACATTTTGCATGTGGTGGTGGTATTGGTTTTAATTTAAACCAAAACAAAAAAAAAACACAAAAAACAACGGATTGCAACAATATTCAAAAAAAATTATCAAAAAATAAAAACGTAAATTACTAGCTATGCGTTCTGTTTATGGCAGTTTGTAAAAAAAAGCTTAACATTTTAAAAACAATTAAGCATTGATACATTAATTATTAACTTAACTGCTTGTAAAACGATCCAAATTTAAAAATGAACATAATTTATTGCAAACCAAATTCCACATACAACAACATACATACATACATATAGCGCATGAAACGCAGTAGTTATGTAAATACTTGCAGCCGCGCGGAGATTAGTGGCTAATTCAAAATCAACAGCGCCAAATACACACACACACACAAAAATATGAAATCAATTAAATAAATTAAAATGATTATAAATTATATCTAGTAATTGATAAAAAAAACAGTAAGCCACAATAAAAAATAACTCAAGCATAGATAATTTTCAATTAGTTTTGTGACATTTTTCCCTCCTTTTGCCCCACAAAATGAAGCAAGTAAATATTAGGCTTAAATAAATACAAATTTAAATAAATACAACTTCAAGTTAAATAAAAAACGCATAAATAAAGTTTTAGCGATCACTAATTACCTAACTACATACATACATAATATAGGCATTATAAAAAATTGACAAAACCGGTAAGTGTGCTATCAAAATTTTAGGCTATTTAAGTTATTCTATTTGATATCTGCAGTGAAAATTCACCAAACTAACAAATACATTTTTATAATTTGGCTTTGCTATGCACAGGTCTTTTCTGAGCTGGTAACAACCTTTTTTTAATCAGTAAATCGACGACTGAGTGGAAGATCCAACTATCTTGGCGGGTGGTTCGAAAACGCCCTATCTCGGAAAATTTGCAAGAACACTCTACTTCAAAATTTTGTTGAAGAACGCCCTGTTTCGAATAATATATTCGCAAAACTATGGGGAAAATATAGTAGAACTGCGTTTTTAAGTTTTTCATTCTGACGTCAGGATTTCTTTATAAAGAATTTTCAAATTTCAAAGATATCATTAATTCAAAAAAGTTCTGTGGCAAGAAAAAAAAACTGTGTAATATAGAATAACAATGTGAAAATCCAATAAAAGAGTGAATTCTGTAGAATTAAAAAAGATTAGATTTTTTGCTGCAGAGGGACGAAAAAAACTTTGTACTTGAATATCCCTAAAAATGTGCAACATTTATTTTTGAAAAAATTAGATGTTAAGGGCTAACATGCACGCGACCATATCCGAGAATTTTTTCCTCCTTAGTACATTAACTTCAAAACGTAAAATTTATTAAAATCGCATTTTCAATACCAATTCCTCCTTGTAAATCAAAAAACTTAAATGATTTTAAATGTTCTCTTTCATTTGCGCAGATTTTTTTTACAATTTTTACGAAGTATTTAGAAAACATCATAATATTTCATATTTGCCGAGTTTCCCATATCATTTAGGTGGCTGATAAAGATAAGAACATTTTTTATCCTACTTGCTTTGAGATTATAGCTCCAGCACTTATCCTATCTACTTGCTCAGCAAGAGCCGATGACCGTAATAATGGGCGTTATCCTGAACATTTTTTTTCTCAATCTCCTTAAAAGGTCACCAGGCTGCTATTCGCACCGGCGGCGTAGTCTGATGTCATTGCTGTTTAATTGATTAACATTCGATCTATTTAAAGGACAGCCGAAGATCTTAAGTGATAAATACACCACACAACCAGTTTGACAAACGTACTTCAAACATACTTTTTTCCATTTCGCCATACACCATTCAAGCATGACTCGTTCAAGCAGAGAGGCTTAATTTTCTTTCGGCTCACAAAGTAAGAAAGCTTGGTATTCTTCCATTTTTTTCTCCTACGACCCCACTCAATGAAAATATTTTTGCAAATGCGACAATTCTGCCATACAAACGGTTGCGCCAAAGCTCAAAATGGCGCTCAGAAAATCTGAACATTTCGATCTTTCTTCAAACATCCTTCAAATGGTTTGTCAAACCTTTAAACCGACCCATACCTAGACTACACAAAAGGCTTGAACTAAAGGGAAATTTCGGCATGTTTGTCCAACCGCCCTCATTGCCTCCCAGTAGTTAGTGAGTTCAGGACCAAGTGTCTTTAACGAGCTTTTGTTTCATCATCCTGTTTTAAAGGTTACGGAAGGCTGCTTGGCTATCTGAAAAAATAAGTGGAAAGGCGCCTTTCAAAAGCTTTTCAAGGTTTAATTTTCCACAGATCAAAATTAAGGTAACACACTTTCTTTTAATGCGCTTAGTTTGTTAGCCCATTTTAAGGTACATAAACGACAGCCAATTTAATTACATTAAATAAATACAAGCTAACCAGTTTAAAATGGAGTAGCTGCAGCATTTGAAATGGGCGATTGAATAACAAGCTTGTAATATAATACCAATTCATTATTAATTAAATTAATTAGAACACCATATTTTACAAAATTCAAATACACACACAACAAACGAAACACGAATTCATACATATGTATGTACACATATATTTACACAGAATCGCAACCAATCGACATACATGGACATCTTTAATAAAAAATAGTACATAGTTATTCGCAAAAAAAAAGCGACACCGAACAACCTAATTGCAATACGTTAATATGCAAATTAATTGCTGCAAAACTGCATGTAAAATAAAACAGAATTACAATTAAATTTAAAAAAAAAATACACATAGCATTAGCTTAGTAATGCAATTCGAGAAAAAAGATACATAAAAAATTACATATACATATGTAAGTAGCAGTCCACATTTACAAAATAGCAGCAGCAATTGCATACAACCGAAAATATGAAAAACCCCTGAAAATAAACTAAAAATTATATGCATTAAATTTAGCAAACATAGATACATAAATTGAAGATATATAAATTTAAAAAAAAAAAAAAATACATAAATTCGTATTTCTGCTAATAGCCCTTTGTTTAGCAACACATGAAGCGGATAATTTTCACACACAAAAAAAAATTAATACATGAAGATAAACAAATACACATACTCTAAGTATGTATATGATTATGAGAATTAAATTTATTGACTAAAGTTAAAAATTAGCGTGTAATGTGAGTACGTCAGCGTCAACGTCAACGTCACTAAACTTAAACTGGCAGCACATAAACACCACTCACAGCCACCGGCACACAAACCTCCATGCACACACAGTCATAGACAAAAAAAAAAAATACATACATACATATGAATACGCTACAAAAAAAAAAGAGTTCACAAAACATAAAAAAGAAAATAAAAATAATTTAAATAAACCATAAAATTATAAGTAAATGCTAATTAAAATAAAATATGCGTCAAATGGAAAAAGTGGAAATACATAATTAATAAACATTAATTATATTATTGAACTTAAATTTGAAATCAAACACATTATTATCAACATTATTGTGACGATGATCATCATTATTATTGCTATTATGTTCAATAAAAAGAAGAATAATTTGATTTAAAAATATCATCTGTGTCTTTCATTTTAACTGTGGAGAATTTGGTGTAGTATTTATATGTATGTAGGTAAGTATCTATTCAAATGGCGGTGAAGAGCGTATAATCGAATACAGCAGGGTTCAAAATTCTGGGCGAATCGCTGCAGCCACACAGTGTCCAAATTTATCTAAAACCAAATATGTAGGCCGTAAGTAAGCAGATACTTTTATTTAAGTATACAACTTTTCAGACATGGCTTTACATACATAGGCGGTCAAAAGTGGATGCATGGTGATTTGTTTTTAATATTTACAATGTTTTTCAATCAAAATTTTTTTTGTTATTTTTATATAAAAAAATGGTTCTAAATGCGTCATCAAATATCATATAGATTACACTTTCAAACTTTATACAGAATTTAAAAAATTACACAAATTTGTTTTGTAAATTTTGAGCTTTTTAACTAGAATTTTTATACAAACAGGATTATAAAATTTTAGTGAAATAAGTGCACGATTTCAGCTGCTAAAAAACTGCTTTAATTTTTAATAATTTTTTTATAAAGATGAATTTCTTGTGGCAGAGTATGGGCAAGACCGTTTGCGAAAAAATAATAAAAAAGTCAGCGCCGCACAATACTGTGGCTCCATATAAAATGTGGGCAAAAAAATATAATTATGGACAGGTTTAAATGAAAACTTGTTTCCTAGTGAACTAGGGATGCTGATACCCTTCATACTTTCTCTGGAAATGCAGTTTGAAGTTCAAAATTTGAATTCTTGTTGTATGTAGTATATGTTGTTCATTCTGTTTTCAAAAGTGAGGTGTATTTTTACAGGGATTAGTCTGTAGATGTGCAGTAAAGTTTTATCTTTTTGAAAAGGGTGGTCACCTGTTAAAAGATTTAATTCAAATTAAATGAATTTGATATTACAATATGGGTATCAATCGACATGGTTTTGAAAATATTTACCTTCTTAACTACACGTATAACGGTTTGGTAACAACCGTTAATTTAATTAAATTCAATTATTAGATTTGGGTAACTGAAATGTGTATAATACAAAATTTAAAATATTTATCAAATATTAAGTGAAGAATGAACAAATTTTTGAAACCTTAAAGTTACTTTAAGGCACTCGGCACATTACACGCCTAATCAAAGTAGAGTAATCGTTTCATCATACCGAAACGAATGCATGACGACTCGACTTCTGCACACTTGCACGCCCTGCATAAGTCACCAGCTAATAAACAATTTCTACACATAACAAATTTTTTGGCCGTTCTTTCGCAACACGCACTTCCGCAAATATTTCTGCTCCGAAATATTGCGTAAGCGCTTGTGGTTTAATGCAATTTGCACGAATTTTAGCGCGAAATCATTCATTTCCAATTATTTTCTATTGAATTGACAAATAAATTTTATTTCCAACACAAAAAAGTAAACAAATAACGATTTCAAAACTGCAAGCGCCTTACAATGTTGGGTGCTTCGATTCATGAAGCTTTTATGAGTAGGCGCAAACATGATTTTGAATCGTAATCTACAGAGCTTCATTGAAATACATGGGTTCGGCATAAAAGCTTTATACTTTAGTATGCCGAAACGATTACACTACTATGATTAGGAGCTTAATGTGCGGAGTGCCTAAGGGTCCAGTAATATGAATGGAGCAAGAAAACATATCGCTCATTGGCAATGCATGGATTTATATACTGTAATAAAATAACAAATACAATGACTTAACCCTTAACCATTTGATATAAAAAATTTAATATTTCATATATACAAATTTTGTATAATTTAATTCAATTAAATTTTCAAATAGGTGGCGACCCTCCCCAAAATATTTGCAAGCTCTGACCTTAAACCTCTTTCGTCTCACTCCCATATATATAGTGATACATATTTCAGTCACCTAGTTCCCTAAGTTAAAATGGAATTTGATTGTTTAAACAAGTGGCAACCCTCCTACACGTAGTTAGGAAATAAACCCTTTCAAAACCCATTTCTATTGATGCCTCTCTTTCAATAATTCATTTAACTAATTAAAAAATATTAATTAAATTTTGTAACAGGTGGTAACTCTTTTAAAAAAGTTAGACCTCTTTATACATTTAAAGGACAGGGCATTTAATGTTCCTTCTCTTTCTTGAAAATCGATTGAATGGTGCAGATCTGATGACATTAAAAAATTTAAAAAATCTGCCAAAGCCGCATAATTTACCAAAGTGAAAAAGTGGCATTTTTTATTTTATTTTTCAACATTCAAAGGACCATACTTTTGACTTGTGAAATAAAAAAAAAACTTTATTTTGTATGATTTTTTGGATTTACTCCTTTAATCTTTCATAATGTTTTTATTTTTAACAAAATAAATTTTCATTTAAAATATAGCGAGTCTAAAGTACAGAATTCAAATTTATTAATAACTTATTTTGCGCTTGTCTTAAGCAATCCTAAACGAAAAAATTTTAAATTTAACTTAATATCTCATAAGTTGTATTTTTGACTATTTTTTGATGTGGCTCTGACTAAAATATTTGGTATCAAATGCGTCAAATTCATGGGCCTTTTTTCTCTGTATTATTCATTTTATACAAAATTTTGGACCGGAACCTTGATAATGGATAAATTACCTTTCCTAGGATATCAATTACGTCTATATTTGGGACAAAAAAACTTTGGATTTTAGCCCGCTCGAACAGCACTATGCGACAGTTCTCTTAAATTTCGCTATTTATATGAAAAAACCCGCAAAATCCGTCAGCAACAAAAAAAAAATTAATAACAATCAATGCGACTCTTTAGCCGCCCAAAACTTGCACTTATTTTATTAAAATTGTGTAAGCCCGTTAACTGCATACCCAAAAATTTTATAAAAATGTTTTTCTAAAAGCTCGAAATTTTCATAAAAATTTGTGGAATTTTCTAAATTCTGTTTAAGTGTGAATTATATAGTTTTTGATAAAGCACGAACCATATTTTTAATCGACTTCAAAAAAAGGAGAAGGTTATCAATTCGTCGGAATATTTTTTTTGGTTTTTGTGTGTAGTATATTACCGCATAACCACGTCAACCGTTTTCGAAAGATAGTGTCTCACAGGTGGCCCATACTAATTTGGTTTAGATCCTATCATTTGACCATGAAAAAATAACGGGTTTCCTAAATTTTATATTTAAAATTTTAAGTCGGTTAGGTTTATTCCTTAAAAATTACTCGTTATAAAAACATAACAAAGAAATTTTAGCTTGAAAAGCATTGTACATATATTATTGGGGAGCTGTTTATAGAATAGCGTATTGCAAAAAATGTTTTTTTTTTTGTAACGGAGATACTGCGAAATGGAATTTTATCGCAGAAGTATACAGTTTTGGTCCATCCATCATACTTATTCGTGACTGTCTCTTCTCAAGAGGTCTATATTTCCTACCATGGTGGAAGAACTTACTCATCTCGTTAAGGCACTTACCCTATGGAATAATTGAAATATCATCGAATATTTTTCTTGCTTTGCCTTCAAACGCATTAAAAACCCGGCGGGGAGATAATACTCCCACTTGCGGGGTTCCCAAGGTAGCTTGTTTCAGACTGGTTGCTACTTCTCATTCGTCCGAAACTTGATGGCAACCTTGCAGCTTACACTGGCGGTCAAACGTGGGTGAATGGAGTTTTGTTTTTAATATGTATGTATATTATGTATATCCGATGATATTTCAATTATTCTAAATAGAGGTTAAGTGCCTTAACACGATGAGTAAGTTCTTCCACGATGGTGGGAAATATAGACCTCTTGAGAAGACGCAGTCACGAATAAGGATGATGGATGGCTAACGCTCGTATCTATTTTCGGGCAACAACTGTATATTACTGCCAAAAATTCCGTTTCGCAGTATCTCCGTTTAAAAAAAAAAAACATATTTTGCAATACGCTATTTTATAAACAGTTCTTCAATAAAACAAAGGAATTCCTGGTACCTGTTATATGAGCAAATCTCACGAGTTGTAACATTTTTCGACAAAAAACAGTTTTTGTTTTGTTAGACATTGCATTATCTTCAGCTTTGTATAAAGAACATGATTTCATTGCGAAACTGTAATTAAATTAAAACTTAAAAAGGATATACTAACAAGTAATTCTTAGCAAACAAAAAACCGACTTCAACTCTCATATAAAAAAAAAAAAATATATATATATATATCTCATGATC